AGGGTACAGTGAGGCTGTTTATGAGCTCAAGAAAACCATCATCCAAACTTTGGGAAGTTGTGAGTCATCTGCAAATAATATCTTGGAGTTTACAGAGTGGATGAAAAGCCTGTGGAATGCAGTAAAGCACGAAAACTTCATCTTCAGCTTCAGAAACAGCCTAGTGGCTGATGCATACATGAGACTGTGCACAGAATTCAACAAATGGGAATGGGAATTCAAAAAAGAAATGTATACATGGGTGACAGAAGCTGAAACTAAAATTTCCAACTTTGGCACAGTTGCTTTGGAATCTGAGATATCTGACATGGAACAATATCTCCTTCGTTTGAAAAGTGAAGCGTGCACAGTGCTGTCTAAATGGGAGACAAAGATTCTTGAAAATCTGGAAAAGTACTTCAAGCAAACAGAGGGTCATGTCTATCTAGTTGAAGGATACAGAGAGGACTTTGCAAACAGTGCAAAGAGTCTTCGACGAGGAATGGAAAACTCTGTGTTTAATCAGCTCGAAGCAGCAGCTGACATCAGACGAGGAATGACAGAAATTGACAGAATCAAAGAGAACCACACAAAAGAATTAGAAGGGAGAGTGTGTGCATTGATTGAGAAATGTCGGGGGAAAAAAGTTGAGATGACAGACAAGGAGCTTGACACAGAATTTGATAACATGTGGAATAAAACAGTGAATGAATTATCGTTTTCTGAGCAAAAGACCACAGATGTCATTGCAATGGTGTCCCTCTGCCTGAGAGAAAATCTGAAATGTAAGGGGAGTCATGCATGTGAATTATTAAGTCAAAAAAGCCTGCAAGATTGTGGACTGGTGCCTTTCAAATCTACAGTGGAAGGATTTTACAAGCAGTTTAAACACAAACTCAGCAAGTTCTTCAACATTGAAGAACATGTCAAAGCTTTAGAAAAAATAGCTGTCAGCATCATAGATGCTTGCACACAGTTTGTGACTGACAAAATGGAAAGGAAAAACAATTACCATGACACTTACATCCAGGAGATCCTACACATTATTGACGAGAGGCTGCAAAACAGTCAGGATGTAAAGAATATAGAGATTGAGTTTGAAGTTTCTCTGAAACAGCACATCTGTGGAGTTGCAGCCAGACAGTTTCAGAAAATGCAAAAAGATTTCCTACATGTGAATGATCCCTACAGATGTCTCAATCAAAACAAAGAAAAGTTTCGTGCTGATTTCAAAGATGTGTTCCATAAACGAGACCAGTGCCAGAAGAAGGCAGAAGAATTCACAGAGCGCTGTTTGAGGCCTGCAGTTGAAGACTTTGTCAACCGTTCCTTGGGTCCTGATATCACTGGTGAAATGCAGACAAGCTTCGAGTTCAGCACACGAATGTTCTTCCAGTATTCCATTTTACTGGATCTGCTCTCAAAGAATGACTTTGACAAGTATCTGAGCTATATTTGCTCATATGAGGATTATGTAAAGGAATGGATACTTGGCCGCATTGTGGAACACCTTTCAAATGGGTCTAAGATGTTTGAGTTTGAGGATAAACATCTCCAGTCAAGTATCAGGAGCATAAATGATGCTATCAACAAAGCTAAAACAGAGAAGAGTGGCAACTTGAAGACATTTGTGAAAAATGTCTGTCAAAAACTTGGTGATAAACTGGTTATTTCCCAGGATGCTCTTGGTGCTTTCATGATCCTGAACAATGCCAACCAGGAACAGTTTGCTCACTGGCTCACTGAGTGTGTGAAGGACATGGAACAAACTCTTAGAGAGAATTTTAAAGAAACAAACATCCAAATGAAACTACAAGCTCTTCATGTGAAGCCTCAGAACGAGCTTTTCACCAAACTGATTGGATGTGGTAAACAGTGTCCGTTCTGCAAAGCTCCTTGTGAGGCAGGAGGAACAGAACATAAAGAGCACCGCACTTCACTACATCGGCCACAGGGTCTGGGTATAACCAGGTGGGATGGGACAGACAAACTTGTCACTGACATATGCACTTCCTCAGTGATCAGTGATGCGTGTTTTCACTGCTTTGCCACACAAGGTGATTGGTACCCTTACAAGAGTTACACAGATATTTTCCCAGACTGGAGAATTGCTCCAGATAGAAGTCTTCAGGCATCAGACTACTGGAAACATGTACTGGCAAAGTTCAACAATGAGTTTGCTAAAGCATATAATGCAAAACCTGCTGATATTCCTAAAATTTGGAAAAAAATCACAGATAAGAAGGCAGAAGCGAGTCTCAAAGAGTCATTTAACATCAAGTGAAAATACCAACCTTCTCCTTGCTTTCCTTGAGTGTACAGAGGTACCCATCCTCCTTTCATGGATATTTTCATCTTGTCACTACAGTTAAACATTTTACCATCAAAGATTCACAATAGGGATGGCAGAAACAAAATCACTGCAAATGCTGCTCACCTTGATTGTAGATTGTGATAAACGTGTGTAATCAAAATAATCTGCTTCCACTGTATGTTAATGTTGACCTCATCAACATTTTTAAATACTCTTTGATA